ACATTTACTTAATATTATTACAAACTGTTTACGTTTTTGATAGAAATAGATTTTATTTGTTAATCGCATCCATTGATTAATGTAAATACCAAATATATATTTATAACGGATTCTGATTTTTACGGTTATAGGTTTATTCATAATAGTTATGTACTCTAATATATAAACACAATATAAATAATTTAAAATAAAACTAACATAATTTTTTAATACAGTATATTTATAGTACATTGATATCATTAGGAATATTATTTTGTAAAGTTTTTTTTAGGAATTATAAAAAGAGTATTAGAAAAATAAGAGAGTAAAACATAATAGACGTCCATTTAACTTAAATTATTCAACATATGGGTCCTTTAAGTGTGTCACTACATTAAAAAAATACTATAGTAATATATTATTTGTATTATCTAAATATTTAATTAAATTGATAGCAAATCTTTTCAAAAGCTAATTAAATATTTAAAATATTAGATATATAATAATCAGTCTAAAATGTTTTGTGGTTTGAAACCTTTAACATTAAAAAGATCATTATTAGATCATATATTTAATATTTGTAATAATTTAAAATTATTCTCAAAAACCACTGTCGATATTATTAAAGCTTTTATTTTTATTACTTTTAGATTATATATTATCGTTATACTAAAGGGACAACAATTGGTAAGTGAATTAAATTTATTTTGTGTTGTTTTTAATGAGAATTTTCAATCAACAAATTGCTATAGATTTTATTAATTACCTTGTTAACTTATTCTAGTTATATATATATATATATATATATATATATATATATATTATTTTTATTTATCGCATGTCAATAAAGTGAAAACATTTAAACAAAAAATATAGCATAATTACAATAGTTATTACTATACTTTATACGTAGTATTTGTAGATAACATGAATAACATTTTATTGACACAAACAAAAATGTTGTCTTATTTAAACTATCAATATTATGATATATAATAAATATAATTAATTAAATAGTTATTGAAATTATTATAACAGATGCAGTGATACAGTATTGATAGACTAATATAATGTATTAAATGTAAGATGTTTTAAAAAATGTTTTGTTTGTCGTATAAAGTTTTCGACATAAAACAATGTTTGAAAATGTGTAAACATAAATTACTTATATTATTTATAATAGTTTTAAAACATTAATTTTAATAAAAATATTAAATAATATAGTAAATACTTTACAATGGCAAACAAAATTTAAGTTTACATTAAATATTTTAAATTTTAAATACGATTTAAGTTTTTTTTTAACAGAGATGAAAAATTTATTCACACAATTATATTTATTTTAAAATTAATTACCATTTGTTCATATAAACAAAAATGTTGTATTAAATTTTAAATAGACAAACATGTGTTTATCTATAAATTTTGTAAATACAAATTTAATGTTATAATATTACAAAAACAAAATAAAATTAATTACACGAATACTTCAGTAGATTAATAATATGAAAGTCTATTATAATTATAAATAATTTATTTATATGTCGTATAAATTGAGACACAGTTTTATGGATAGTATAGTGTTATATATATACCGTCTATAGACTCTATACAGAAAATACAGTAATAAACTATTACTAAATATTAGTAATTCAATTTGAAATCTAATTATTTATTTATGACTACTGATCAATACATAATAAACAAATACTGTAATATTGAGAAAACTATTGATAATGTGATTGTTTTTAGCTAATCATTATCTCTGTCTTAATGATAATTATAATTAAATTTATATAATAAGAACTTTCTCTTTCAATAAAATTACAAAATTATTTATATTTAACTCTTTATAAAGACTTAACAAATAATTTAGTTGAAAATTTCGTTGAGTTTGATTGGGTTTGTAATTAAATATTAATTATATTAAGAATTGTGTAATACTGTACTGTATTTACAAAATTTGATGAAAAATTATTTAACAAATTTACGATAAAATGCTTAAATTTATTTAACTAATATAAATATTTTTTATGTTTAAAAACAAAAAATTATAGTTTTCATTAAAAATTCAAATAGTTATTCATATATTAACATATCATTATACAAATTTTATTTTCACTACTAAAAAATACTAATTTTTTTGTTACTTGAAATAAAATTTCAAATACCGTAGAAATAATAAATCATTAATTAAATTTAATAAATTTTTTAGTATTTTATGTAATATAACTTAACATTGATAACAAATTTATGAATACCGTAAAATGGTAAAAATAAAGTTATCAATAAAAAATGATATATTATTTACACAGTAATGGACTCTAATAAACACTTTATCAATCACTCAAACTGTTCATATATTTTAATCTTAAACTTGTTTATTACATAACAAATAATTGTAGTGTTTTATCGCATTAATGCTATTATAATAAACAAATTATTACAGATTTATCCCAAAATAATGGATGGTTTGGTCATAAGTGCTGTCATTTAGCACAAACATCGACTTGTTATCAGTTATGTCTAAAAGTAATGCCAAAAAATCTGATTAATAATCAAAAATTATTTTATTAATACATAAAATTTTGTTTTAATATATATATTCATAGAATTTATATATATATATATATATATATATTGTTTATTATTTACAGTTTCAATCAATGTCACAATTGGTGAACTGTAGTGTTGATAATGAGAGACTATATCACTGTCTGATGACTAGCCATCACATCCCTGTCATTCATAGCTGTTGTACAACATATCTGTCGTCACCAGACTGTCAGCGCTCTTGTTATCGATTATTACGATCCTATTGGGACAGTAAAGCTAATAATCAAACCATTAATACTTATAATAATAATCATAATAATAATAACAACAAAAAACAAAGAAATAAGTTTATGAAACATTGCAAACAATATGATTCTGTGATTCATTGTGTTAACAATGACATCAAAATATTAAATATAAATAATGAAAATGTTGTTAACGACAATCAAACAAGTAATTAAGTTTTTTTATTGACCGAAAGTACTATTTATAATATTACTAATAAAATAATGTACAGTTTAGTATTGTATCTAAAAAATATTATGTGATATTTAACAAAATATATATTGAATATATAATTTGTTATTTTATTAAATTTACATTATTTTTAATAACTATAATATCTATTACAGTAAACATAATATTGTTGTTATACGTTGTGGTAAAACATTTATTATGAGATTTGACTGCTTGAAGGCAATTCTCAGTATGAGTTTAATGACAAAATCAAAATTCACATAATTTTCCAATACATAAATACATACACAATATACAGTATACCGTATGATATATCGATATACAGTATACCGTATGATATATCGATATACAGTATATCATAAGGTATATATATATATATATAGTATATATATATATATAGTATATATATATATATAGTATATATATATATATATATCAGGATTAAGCAAGGTTTTGGATCTTATGGGGTATAGGGTAAGGGAAATCTCGAAAAGTTTTGGGGAGTATAGGGTGGGGTTTACCTTTTTTCATTTTTTTTTAATTAAAGAGGCGGGGTCAAGTGAAAATCCCTACAAATTTTTTAAATTCCAGAATATTCCCTATAAATTATCTTATTTTTAAAACAATTTCTTAAATTACTAAAAAAACTTAAATTTTATCCAAAATTTTATAAAAACAAATTCTTCATTTTAAATGAAAAATTTAAAAATAATTATAAAAATATTAATGTTTAATTATAATTTATAATAATTATTTTAAATAATTTTCTACATGTAACAATAACTTTATTGAACAAATAGTTCATGTTTTAGTTTTTTAGTACATTTTTAAAATAAAATAATGTTATATTTAGAGAATACTTATTATTTTCCTTATTTTCTTAACAATTACAACAACAAATTACAATTGATTTATTTTGAATATAATTTTGATAATAGTTAATAATTATGCATTTAAAACATAACACATATAATTAATTTTAGAAAACATAATATGATGCATATTCTATTAATATTATCTTAAAAACACTTGTTAAATAATTAGTTTTTTAAATAGTCAATTTTTAAGTTTTATATTTTAATATTATTTTTAACTATTTTACTTATTTTTGTTTAACTATTTAATTTAATTAATCTGTTGAAAGATAATAAAATTTAATTAATAATTATAACTTATTTAATTTTTAAAACATCGTCGACTTCGGGTTTTATCCTCATTTTTAACAATTTTTTCTTTTGATCAAAAAGTCTGGAGTGGGGGTAAAATCCCAAAATCTCCATCTTAGGAGGGGGTAAACAATTGTAATATCCTATCATATACCCTTGCTTAACCCTGATATACTTATAAATTATAAGTTATAATATATAGTTATGAATACTGTAATAGTTTTTAGTTATTTGTTTTTGTTTTGCAAAGTTTTCTAATATTTTTAATTTGTTTTAGTATTCAATTATTGTTGTCATATCATCCATAAAACTCATACGAGTAGTGAGAGAGAGAGAGTGAGAGACATATATATAATCTGATATCAAATTTTTGATTGAAATTAATTTTATTAATCAAGTTTATAGTTAACTGAATTTAAAAACATAATTCTAAACAATCGTTTTCTGGGAATAATATATTTACCATTTAAACTGTCATTTCCATAAAGTTTACTTATCACTCAATTTCACGTATCATTTAAATACTACTATTCATATGACAGTAAACAATAGTAAATTTGTACTAATGCTGTATATCATAAAGTTTTATTATAAATAAATAAAAATGTTTTTTTTTATTTATTTTCATACTTCACCTTTATCTTTTAGCTTAAATTAAATAGTTATATTGATTATACATAATATTATACATAATAAATAAAATATTTATATTTAGATTGTAAAATTGATTTAAATACATTAATATCATTTAGTTTTATGCAATTTAAATAATTATTTTTTACGTTAATTTAAAAGGAGTTAAATGTTGTAATAAGTTATCGGACACTAATTGTCAAGAATTTTGTCATCAAATAATGCCGACAATAAAAAATGATTACCAATTGGTTGAAGCATTGGTTGTATTTTGTGGCCAATCTTTTAGTAATAAAAGTAATGTGAGTTAAAAAAAATTATTTAATAATTTTCTTGTTTAACACTATTTATTAATTTAAAAAGTAAAGCATATTATTGTATTAATATTATTTTTTTTAATTTTCAATTGTCTTATAGAAATATAAGATAATTATACATTTATGTAATATAGTGTCAGTAATATTGATTAAAAACATATGGCATTAAAATAATGTTTTATATTTCTCATTTAAATATATGATTGTACTGAAAAAACAAATGACTATAATTTGTTTGAATAAACAAACTATAATTTTTAAATAACAAAACAACACATTAAAATCATAAATTGTTGATTAGCTTTTTATTTAAATTTTATTGCATAAAAATTTATAACAAAATCTTTAAAAATATATTATTTAATTTAAATATCTTTTTTCTGTTCAGTTAAACAATTGTTAGTAATCAAAACATCCGTCTCTTAATTATTTTTCATATATTCAAATCAGCAAAAAAATAATAAATATTATTTTGTTTTTGAATACAACTCTATAATTTTAAATTGAGATTTTGTATTTTTTCTATTTGTGTTTTAAAAAGAAAAAAATAGTTTTAAAACTTTAAAACGTCAAATATTAAATTTGAGATAAATAAATTTCTAGTAAAAATATAATTTTAAATTTATATGACAACAATTGTTATATTTACTTAACAATAGGATGACCTGTGGCAGTGTTTACTATCACAATCAGATCCAGTGTCGGACATCAGTCCGACTCACAAATTAAATAAAAATCGTAATATAAATGCAAATAAAAAGAAAGTTAAAGGCAGTCGACGAAAGACAAGACCAGAGAGGAGACGTCCTTCAAGTGATCCAATGATGAGACTGTGGTCATCGGCACTCATGAGTTCTCATCAATCAATGACTGTCTCCCCGTCCTCTCGAAGCAAATCGCACTATAGATTGACTAAAGATTTTTCAAAATTAATGTGTTGTGCAAAAGCCTCAACTAATACATGTCGTCAGTTATGCCAAAAGGTATACAGTTTTTATTATAACTTAATTTTATTTTTCATATAATATATTATAAATAAATTTAAATATATGGTAACAAAATTGATTGCCTTACGGTATTATCAAAACATCACACATAAAAATACATTTATTTATTATGAATATTTTAAATTATCCATTGCTAATAAAAATATTTAGAATAGTATAGAATATAGTATAAAGTTTAGTAACAATATTATTATAACTATTTGATAACAAAATTTATTATTATTATATTATTTCAAAGACATGGGGCTATCATTATATGCTAAACTGGGAACAGTTTGATCGTATCTGTCGTCACTCGAGTACAGAACCACATATGAATCAGTGTTTAGATGACACAGAAGGTGTGTGTCAACCGGGATGTCAGGCACTGGAGTTTTGCCAAACATTCAACAATAGACCGGAACAGTTATATCGCAAATGTAGCGCCGAAGCGGACAGTGAGGCAAAAGATGATTACGAGACGTGGATGAGAGGTGCCGTCAAATACAATATCATTAATATTTCGGTCAAAAATGTGGCCATTTGTCAAACGGACATCTGGAAACTCATTGCTTGTACTATACATATAAAGCCGTGTCTCGATGACAGTCATTATAATAATATATGCCGGTATGTCCTCTCATTTGATAAGTATGTTGACATTTACGGTAATCATATCCTTTAAATGCTCAGATCTTCGTGTGTCGACATCATTAGTGAATGCATTGACTCAAATCATAGACCATCAACTCATCTGTCGGCTCAATCCATCTGCAACTTGATCTCAACAAATAGTTCCGACAATTGTATTGATATCCAAACTTTCCTCAAAATAAATCAAATGTCCACTAATGTAGACAATCAACAGCAGCCTAGAGATACACTTATTAATCCCTGTAATCCCAATACTTGTCTATCAAATCAGATATGTTTAGTTAATAATAATTGTCGTTTTCGTAATTGTTTGCCATTTAAATGTGTCAGCGCTTGTCATTTGGGTCTGTATTTAAAATCAACTAAAAAGTTTGTCTATTTTTTGTTATCTATAAATTACTTCTAAATTACATTAAAGGCGATTCCTCTAAATTTCGTGTGATTTCGGGAACAGCAGTAAAACTATTGAGTCCTAAGGATGACTGTCACCATCTGTGCAAATGTGGAACCAGAGGTCAACTAATCGATTGTTACAAAATATGTGATCATAAATATAGAGATAATTGTGAAATAAATACAAATAAAAATGTAACACATTTGACACAAATTGCTGTCAATGAGAGGCAATGTATTTGTTTTAATTCTCGCATTCAATGCAATAATAGGTACATTATATAAAAATAGATTTATCATTATTATTATTATTATTATTTTAAAACACCATTAACTTCAGTGCATATCATTTTTATCAACGAAGGCAATGTCTACTTAGCTGTCGTCAAGATTATTGGCCGGTTTGTGCCATTAATGGCCAGACATTTCCCAACCGGTGTTACGCCCAATGCAGTGGTTTTACAGAAGAAGAGTACGTTGAGGGTCGATGTGATACTACTATGGATTGGGTTAATCGTAGTTCAAAACAAAGGTTAACATTAAAAATTGATGAAAATTGTCATTATTTTAATAATTTATATGTCTTTTAATTTAAAGGTGTGTCAAGAAAAGTCATATATGTCTGACAGCAGATCACTGTCCACAATATGAATGTGTATCGGAACCCATTGATTGTGCTATTTTAGGCTCAAACCCTGTTTGTGATACCAATGGTGACACTCATCCTAATCTTTGTTGGCTTCTAAAGAAAAAACAAAAATTTGCTTATTATGGCCGATGTCTGGTCTGTTCATTACAATTATAGTCATTAATTACATTTAATATTTTATTTATTTATTTTATAATTATTTAAACAGTATTTTTGTTCACATTCCGGACCTGTTTGTGCTTTCAATGGACAGACCTATCAATCTGAATGTACAGCACTTTCCCATTCAGTTCCGGTCGACTATTACTCGCACTGTAATCATACCTCTGCTTGTGATGGCATTCAATGTTCGCAACAGCCAATGTGTGTGCATCCATATTATGATCACTATTTAGATTATAATTGTTGTCCATATTGTGGATCAGTTGCTAAACTGATTTACGATAAATACGCCATCCATAGGATTGACGGCAGATTCAAAGCCAACTACGCGATGACTGTCGAAGAAGTGGCAAAGCATTTGTCTTATTTGATACGTCTGTTTGGATGTCAATCATATGTCTATCTAAGTATTGATGACTATATTGTATTTATGGTAAAACCAGTGGCAATAGAGCAGTCATTGACTCAACTGGAACAATGTCATCGAGAACTGGTACGTGTAGTCACTCTTATCAATAATCAGTCACCAATTATCACTACTCAACTACCACTATCACTACTGGTTAGAGGAAAGGTATTACAATCATCACAGTATATTCAAGTAGATCTGCCATCAAATGTCACACCAATTGTTTTAAATCAAATATTTTTATTACTAGTTGTTATACAATTTTTATTTTAAAAATTAAAGTTTTCTTATAATATTGTACATAATATTCAATTAAAAAAATAAATATAACATTTTGTTAATTTTATATATCCCAGATTTTGTTAACAATTATTTTTTATTATTATTATTTTTTTAATACATCTAAATTTTAAATTATCAATACAATTAAAAACTTTTAAAAAAGTTTTTCTATTGAAAATCAATTAATCAAATTTAATTGAATAAATACTTCTAGTTTATGATTATTTTATTAAAATTACCGGTAATTTTTAAATGTCAGTCAAACTAGAAGACTATTTCTATTTAAATGCTTAACAATTAAATTTTAAAAGTTAAATCAATTGTATCTTAAGCAGGGTTTTAAGGAAATAAATGCCTTCCCTGGCAATGCCCAAATAGATGCCATAAATGCCTGGCATTTTAAATTGCTAAAAATCAAATTTATTTATAAAAATAATGTAATTTAGTGTTTTTAACATGTTAATTATATTTAGAATTAATATACTTATTTCCAAGGATATTATCTTTTAATTAAAGGTATACAAAACAACAATAAAAACAATGTTTTATAAATAAATTAGTATTATAAAATCAAAATAATGTCAATACCTAAAAATAGATGCCCAGGACATGGCAGAGGCAGGACAGGCATTTGACAAAATTGGCATCTATTGTTTGTGCCTGCCATTTTTAAAACCCTAATATTAAGTATAGTTTTAGTGACACCTATAATATTTGAATTAAACTATATTTTTGTATAATTCAATTATATAGTATTATCAACTTTTATTACAACTTTATTTCAACATAATTACATTTAATGACTAATTAGTACATTATTTACAGTTATTTATTTATTCACAAAATTTATATTTAAGACTTATCTATTATATTATAATTTAAAATGTTTTATTAGTAATTAATTTTTTAATCATTTAAACTAACTTTCAAATATCTCAGTTATAAATAAATTATATTTTTGAGTTTATATTTATTAAATTTTAATATCGTTACAAATATTAATTATATTATTAGATAAAATTTTGATTTGACATTGAAAATATATAATATGCTATTTATTTTTTAAAAAAATAATTACTACATTTAGTTTACTAAATTATCAATTTTAAAAAATAGTTTAACTAATAGTTTAAGATATTATAATAACAATAAAAAAGGATATTATGACAATTAGTATTGAATATCTATAAATTTCCATATAATTATTAGTTGTTATACATATTAAAAATTGTTATAAATTGTAGTATATATATATCATATAAGGTATGTTATACATAATATGTATTACATATATTAATAAATATATTTCAATAAATATAAACATAGTGATATTGATTTTTATTTAGAATATTCATACAAACAAATACAAAAATTTAGTATAATGTAAAAATGGTGATCACAAAAATGTACTAGTACAAAATATTTTCCAATCATTTTACAGAGCAATTAAAATTTTTTTGTTTGTTTAGTTTAATCTTTAATATAAAATAATTATTGTTTCAATTTTCAGAAACTTATTTTCAAAAGTGAGAATTTGATAACAAATAATGTGTACAAAAAAAATTATTTGCCAAACATTTTAAGCAAAACTAATGAATTTGTATTTTGTTTTTAACTATTGATTTTTTTTGCCGAAAAAATCATTTTCAATGTCCACACTCTCAGCACTGGTATGTGGTTTATATTATTTGTCATTCATTGATTTTATAATTAATAGCATAATCAATAAAACAATAAATATAAATAGCATATAACACTATTATCTACATTAGGGTTGCAAAACGTCCAGTATTTTTTAGACAATACATTATATACAAACAAATTTTTATTAGAAACTTGAATATAACAAAGTTAACTGAGTGTCCAATATATTTCAGGTATTATTTTAGATATATATATATTTATTTATTTAATGTATAGTTTTGTTAAAAAATAAATAATTTATTTAAAATAGTATGAAATGTATGTCAAGTATTTGTATTAAAACAATTTGAAAACTCTATTCATAATTGAATTAATGTATTAAAACGTAATACTATTCCGACTGTAAATCAATGCATTGCACAGTACTATCAGTCAGTATTGAAAGCACTGGTAGTTTTGACTACAGGTGTCAGTCATTCAAACTTTAACTTTAGTTTCAACTTTAGTGAAGACTTTTATTTGATTATTTGGTCAACACTTTGTCTGTTAATAACTTTGTAAGCGATGGACGATATCATTGATGTCAATAATTTTCCCGCTTTGAAGCCATTGAAGTCTAACCCGACGTTATGGTCATCCATACGATTGGTCAGTATTTTTGGATTCAACGGCACAGAAGTGATTTACGTGACCACTGACGACAAAGTGTACGGTTACGGTCCTAATCGGTTCGGGTGTCTGGGAATCGGCGTCAATGACGAAGACATCAAAATACCACAACTGAATGCTGTGTTGACCGACAAAGAAGTGACAAATTTGTTCACTGGTTTTGGTCACGTGTTAGCGTTGACGGCCAGTGGACAGTGCTATTCATGGGGCGAGAACACGATGGGACAGTTGGGTATTGGCACTTACGATTCACCCGTATGTACGCCCACTCCTGTGGTATTGTCGAGAACAGATGACTTGCAAATTGTGGCCATCAGTTGCGGTAATCGACACACACTGGCGTTGACTACCGACGGATGCGTTTATGGTTGGGGACGCAATACGTTTGGCGCCATCGGTGACCAAACATGGTGTTGGAGGCCATATCCCGTAAGAACGGCCATTGAAGAGCCGATCGCTTCGATATCGTGCGGTAAATGTCATTCTTTGGCGCTCTCAAGGACCGGACGCGTATATCTGTGGGGTTTACATGATTTCGGACAATTGGGTCGACCCATTGAGGAACGGGATTACAAGATATGCGACGACGGTCTCAAAAAAGAAAGGGCATTCAACTCGTGTCCCGAACTTATTCCCGGATTCGAGGATATAGTGATTCAAAAGGCTTGTTGTGGACCAAATCATACCATTTTATTGTCATCGAAAGGAGATGTCTATACGTTTGGTCTCAACGATTTTGGTCAAATCGGCGACGGAACGTATGAGAGTCGGGACACACCCTTTAAAATTGAAATGAACTGCAAATTCAAGGATATTGTCGCCCATTTCGATAATAACCTGACCATTGCTCTCTCCGACGATGACATACCCTATGTTTTTGGCTATAGTTTCCATAAGAAAGGAATTTGTGTTTTGACTGATCCGACCAAATGGATGACTCGTTCCTCTTTGATTGATGTCTACGCCCGGCATTCAGGCGGTTATAAATCCTATAAGACTATTATTATCGGACAAAAAGTGATGAAATCTTTGGAACAAATTAATAATAAGACCAGCGATAAAACGGAACAAATGATAACAAATACTTTATTAACAAATAAACCGTCATTTGTTGTAAAGGATTATAATATGAATCCAATGAACTATTCAAATGAAGACATTCTTCCGTCTAATGTTTTTCGCAATTATTTAATCAAATCATTTGACAATCACATGAACTTTGATTTTGAGTTTGTCTTCAATGAAAAATCAATCTATTGTCACAAAACAATACTTCAGATTAGAAACAAACAATTTTGGGACTCAATTAAAGATTCATTGGTTTATAACAATGAGGTTTATATTGAAGACAGATATAGTTATCAATCGATGCTTGCATTTATAAAGTATTTGTATTCAATTACACCTGAAGTTAATGTCGATAACTGCTATGATTTATTACGATTGGCCACACAATATCGGGAACAGGAGCTCAGACAACTGTGCTCGCAGTTTATGGAATCTGTAGTCAATTTAAAGACAGTCTCTAAGATTTACGATATGGCTGTTAATTATCAATTGCAATCTCTGGAGAGTTATTGTGAAAAGTTTGCAACAAAACACTGGAAATCTATATTTAAAAGTAAAGGCTTTGAATCAATGAGCGATACATCGGCCAGAAAACTAATTGCAGCCATTTGTAGAGTAACTGCTATATAATCAACAAATTAATTAATTATAGTTACGATAATATATTTCAATTCAATTTGTACTAAACATGTTTATAAATTATGGCATTTTTGTGATTAGATATACAGAACAATATAATGCTTTTTAGCAATTTTTTGAATATTAAAATTATATAATAAACTGTTGATTTTGTATGACTAAGATATTAAAATTTATAAAATTGTTATCAAATATTATTTCTCTAATATTTAAAAATATTTTTTAAAAACATTAAACACGAGTTATAACAGGATATGAGGCCAAAGTAGCGATAGCGCACTGGTTATGCTTATTGCGAGCCATACGTACGTAACCGTCTTCACCCCAATTCTCACCCGATGAGCTCTTAACCAACCAATAGTCTTGTTTGGTTTTTGTGTCTGTCCCGTAACCAACAACCAACACACATTGGTCTACTGTAATCAAATCCGATTTACAGTTTGGATCATCAGTTATGCCTCCCTTATAAAACCAGAAACCTTTAGGACATTGTATGCACACAGAAATTGGACCAATTGTGGCGACGGCTTCTTGTAATGCCTGTTCATCGCCTGGTTTTAATATACCGAATGCATATGCTTTACCATAAACTGTTTTGACATAATAATCGCAGTGACCTTTTGTATAATTAACACGAGGTTTATATAAAGCTTCTGTAGTTAAACCCTTTGAAAAAAATTATAATTACGGTAATTATATAATGAACGAAATAAAATGTTTACCGAAAATATAATATATTCGTATGCTTTATACGGTGTATTAGACCCGAATTCACTCGTGCAGTCAACCACTTGCTGTACCGATAGCGGCACTGTTTTACCACTATGTATAGCCAGTTGACTTTCAAATGCACCGACAGCCGAGTGTGCATAACACGTACCGTTCTCTCCCTGATCCTTGACTGGGGTCACAATACCAGCCGTACGCCAGTCAACGAAATCAGGTATTTTAGCACCACTTGGAGTGTGAGGAATAGTATGACTTGCAGATCGGGAAATACGATTTCGACCATATATTGGACTTTTTGTCGGATCAATCTTTTGAAACATTGATTTAATCTCATTTTCTCTCTAATATTTTATTCACACAATATTATAGTTTTCAATAAACAATGAATTATTATCATATTCTGAATAGACATACCATATCTGCAAACTTATTGATTGCCATATAATAAGATTCCAGACCTTTACTGTAGCGTTCATTATGTTCATTGATAACTGATTTTTGTTGATTATATATCTTAAAGTGGATCAGCTCGTCATTAACATTGTTATAATGTTTGTTATATTTTTGCTATACATATCAAATAAATTAAATATATTAATTGTTTAACAAATTATTTTATTCATATTTACTTAACAATTATTTTTATAATTACCTTAAATTCAATCCATTCTTTATTATATAAATGTGATTTACCATAGATTATAATACAAATATTTAGTAAAATAATTGCTGTTTTATAGAAAAACATTTTAAATATAACAACAAAAATAAATTTTAAAATTATTATTGAAATAATTTGTTTAATTGATTTACAGTATTTATACTGTATATTGTAACGTTTATTTATTAAGGGGTTAGTAGTAGTTTAGGTTAGATTGAAAAAATTACACAAATTTAGGGAAATAACTTTATTTTATTATATAACACTATATAAATTATACAGTACAGTTTAAAAGGTAAAAGTAGACTACCCTAAGTGTGTGTGTGTGTATGTATTATATAAGTGTTGGGTTTATATAGATTATCCAATAATATCATAGGTGGGGAGGGGCATAAAGTATATTACAATTCTTCTCAGGTACAGATAAATGTTTGTCCCTAAACATTATACATTATTTATGGACAGCATGCATAGTACTGTATATGTATATATTATTTGAATTTTGATGCCTGTATGTAAAACACGTGTTTTTTTTGAAATTGTATTTGTTTTTTTTTTATAATTATAATATATTAATTTTTTAATAATGGTTACTATTACGGTCGAAAATAATTGTAATAATAGCATACGTTATGATAGTAGTAATGGTGGTGTCGGTGGTGGTAGTAGTAGTAGTGGTATCGGTGGTGGTAGTAGTAGTATCGGTGGTGGTAGTAGTAGTGGTGGTGATGGTGTCGGTGGTAGCGGTAGTGGTGGTCGAATAACCCGAAGTGGTAACAGTGGTGGTAGTATTGGTAGTAGTAGTAGCGTCGGTGGTGGTAGTGGTAGTAGTGTCGGTGGTGGTAGTACTGGTCGACTAACCCGGAGTAGTATCGGTGGCGGTAGTAGTAGTGTAGGCGGTGGTAGTAGTAGCGTCGGTGGTGGTGTCGTTTGTAATAATACTAATTTGGTCTGTGGTCCGTCTACTAGTTCGCTGGCTACCGATTACTCGGTAAGTTCGTTGTTATTATTATTATTATTATTATTAGTATTAGTATTAGTATTAGTATTAGTATTATTATTATTATTAGTATTAGTATTATTATTATTATTATTATTATTACTTTTTTTTTACTATTATTATTATTAGCGTTATAGTTCACAATCTAGTGGTGTGTTTTTGACCGATCGCGAAAGTTTAAGACCCTATGTCCCGAGAAGGATGCGGTTGCATCTTTTTTCCGATATTAGGTATCGGATGACTAAGCGGGCGACGACAAAATATTCGCGACCCCGTCGAAATGCGGAAGGCAAATATGAAATTGATATTATTTTTGCCACAGCGGTCTACGGTAAACAGGGGCCAAAAGTGTTTGTATTTTGGTATGGTTGGCCGAATGCTACTGTTGAGGATTATGCTGAATTCTCAACTTCACCAGTATTGAAGCGATTTTACCATCCGGGTAGATACGGTAATACTGGTTCATCGGTTGGGTTACCATCTATAGATGTAGATACGGCTATCGTTTGTTCCGACGGCCATTATGGGAAGACTATGTCAATGTTTTTTCAATGGTTCATTGATATGGGGTTATTGTCACTCACACAAGGGTTTGTGAGGTAATAATTTAACAACACTTCCATTTAAAGCTATACTGTAATTATTATTTATTTATTTTTTTTTGAAGTTCCTCACCTCTGTTGGTTCAAGAATTAGAACTACAGGCATTCCGTGACATGTATAATTTGTTGGCACCTTTGCCATCAGATTATTATCTTCATGATAAAGTACTCGGATGGTCGCAGGGTTCCATACAAGTAGATCGTAGATTTAAGAAATTAGCGCCTGAATTTCGGGCGTTATTGTGTAGATCGCCCAGTACTTCCCGATATAAGGTATCGCAGGTCGTTAATCGTTATCGGCTGTGCTTTTTTGTGGTATTTAGAGTATCTGAGATAGTTGGTGGGTGCCGATCTGTTCATTCCGGTCTTCTGATTTCTGAGAAATTGCCAACGGATTTAGTAACATGTATAGTAGTTATTGATTGTTTGTTTTTTTTTGCTTTTGTTTTTATTTGATTTGTTTTTTTTTTTAGTCACGTATTATGACCCGCTACCCAAGGTTTCGGCTACGATTAGGTTACCAGAAGTTGTACGCATTGCTATCATTAGTTGTGGTCGTAATAGTTTGGGTAAAGGGATTGTCCGTCGTATTTATGGATGCCAGTCAACGGCAGATGATTGTCTACTGCGTACATTTTCGTTGTTAGCTTTTTTGTGTGACAATTTTGATTTTATAAATACTTTTGATACTTATTTTAGCAATTGTATAACAAATAAATACGTATAAAATGTGTTTTTTTTTGTTTTATAAATAAAATAATTTAACTAGAATATTAATGGTTTGATACTTAAAACTAAAAATTTATTATACCGAAACTTATATGCATTAATATCTAATTATTTTTATATTTTGTAAAAATAAAATATTATATATATATATATTATAATTAAATGATAATTGTTTTTGTTATCGGATCCGGACACCAACTGCACGGTCTCCGATTATTTTTATATTTTGTATAAATAAAATATTATGTATATATATTATAATTAAATGATAATTGTTTTTGTTATCGGATCCGGACACCAACTGCACGGTCTCCGATTATTTTTATATTTTGTATAAATAAAATATTATGTATATATATTATAATTAAATGATAATTGTTTTTGTTATCGGATCCGGACACCAACTGCACGGTCTCCGATTATTTTTATATTTTGTATAAATAAAATATTATGTATATATATTATAATTAAATGATAATTGTTTTTGTTATCGGATCCGGACACCAACTGCACGGTCTCCGATTATTTTTATATATATTGTATAAATAAAATATTATGTATATATATTATAATTAAATGATAATTGTTTTTGTTATCGGATCCGGACACCAACTGCACGGTCTCCGATTATTTTTATATTTTGTATAAATAAAATATTATGTATATATATTATAATTAAATGATAATTGTTTTTGTTATCGGATCCGGACACCAACTGCACGGTCTCCGATTATTTTTATATTTTGTAAAAATAAAATATTATGTATATATATTATAATTAAATGATAATTGTTTTTGTTATCGGATCCGGACACCAACTGCACGGTCTCCGATTATTTTTATATTTTGTATAAATAAAATATGTATATATATTATAATTAAATGATAATTGTTTTTGTTATCGGATCCGGACACCAACTGCACGGTCTCCGATTATTTTTATATTTTGTATAAATAAAATATTATGTATATATATTATAATTAAATGATAATTGTTTTTGTTATCGGATCCGGACACCAACTGCACGGTCTCCGATTATTTTTATATTTTGTATAAATAAAATATTATGTATATATATTATAATTAAATGATAATTGGTTATTCTGTATTAGTGGTTTCGTTCTCGATGTAAGGAGGAGGAATTAGTGAATTTAATTCATTAAATGGATTCCTATGCTGTGAATCGAATACCATATTTTTCAGTGCCCAGTCCCGTTCCTGTTTCATCTTATTAAACTTTTGTAACATTATAGCTAACATTATTAATAATACAATAATTAAAATACTAAATATGTCCTCTATATATGTTATACGAAATATCTTATTTATATTTAACCATGATTTTTTATTAATGAGTTCTAGTCTGATTAGTTTGCATTGCTTATCATGATAACAATTCATAGGTGTGTAGTCGGAAATGCTTTCCTCATTTGGTAATTTAATAGTCATACCGGGATTACTTAGTAATTGTTCAGATACTAATCCTCTTTTCCAATTGTTGCCTATTTGCGTTATGACATTTTTAATCATTATTAATTTGGTTGCAACCGTTGACAGACTTAATCCTATTAAGTTCCGAGTGTTGTTAGTATTATAAGCGTAGTTCATCTCTTGTCTATCGATCGTATTTTGAAATAGTTCTATATCAAATGATTTAGCTAATTTAGGAGCTATGCAAAATTGCTGTATCGGATCAATAAATGCATCACTAAATCTACGTTCACACCATGATTTTTCAAAACTTGAATAATTAGTTAAGCTATTACTATCGCATGGATTTTGATATTTTATATTCAAAGATATAATGTTACTATCGTAGGAAACGCTCACATTTATTAAACAAAATAATGTAGTTAAAAGTAACGTTTTTTGTCCTCTGATTTTTGTACGTTTAGTAGTAATTGGTTTAATACTATCTATTTCTATAACTTTATCATCGTTATCTTCTTCTGTTTCTAATTTGCTCATTTGTATTGTATCATTGATGTCACTTGTGTTAGATAATTTGTAAGAATTTTTATTTTTGAAATATTTGTATATAAAAATACTACACAATGTTAAGATTATTAGATATAGAAACAATTCATAGTAATTAATTGTATCTTTATTGTAATTATAATATCTTCGAGTGTTTAATGATAACATTTCTCTATTAACTTCTGTAGTTAATTTTTCAAAATCAAAGTTATGTAAGTCAGGCATAATGTGAAAATTTATTCTCTGAGAAACTGATGGTTTTAAATCAATTTCGCTTTGTACTACTATTTGTTTTGCTTGATAGTTATATTTATCGATTTTGAATGAAGCAGTGTTAGGTAATGCGAAGACAAAATTTGGACATTTTATTGTTTTATTATAGATAGTGATATTAAGAGTATTACAGTAAATGAGATTTTGATCTCTTTGGGATTTTATTTGAACTATGTTTTCTACGCTTATTTCTCCTAT